AGACACACCTATACTACTGAGGTCAGGACAAGTCTGCAGCAAGAAGCAGCCTGCCTAATTGCAAAGTGGTTTTGTTTTCTCTAAGTAAAGTTTGAGTTCTGAACAGACATAAGGTAACTGGCTTGGACTAAAGCAAAAAGAACAGTCTCTGTGTGTGCAGTGCACCTCAGAGCCAGATTGTTGCTTCATGCCTGCCTGTCCCATACAGCTAAATATGTTCTCCATAATCTTAATTATGTGCTGTTTGAAGAGTACCTTTTTATTCTGCATTAGTTTAAGAAACTGGATTTCCACTCCAGTCACAATTTCAAACAGATTTGTTTCTAGAAAACCACCTAAAGATTTTTATTTATTACTGTAATTTGCAGAGAGGCCAAAGACTTCATGCAAGCAAATTCATGCAATCTCACAATCAAGCTGATGGGAGACTCACCTCTACCTGAAACCCAAGTATAAATGCTTTCACAAAATCAGCTGCTTTTGTTAGAGCACTGAGGTCCTTTGTCTCTTGACAAGTCTGCAAGGCAAGAAATTACATTTGCGAATTAAGATCATGGAAGTAGGATCAGGACTTGAAAAACCTAAGAGATACAGTCTAACCATATAAAGGCCACCTTCAGGTAACGCTCCTATGTTGTGTTGTACTGAACGGCCCAGTGATAGATTTGGTGCTTGTTTATAATGTTGATCCTTAATGACAAGAATATACCAACTACCCCAGCCTGTGCTTGCAGGGGAGGGCAAAGAGAAACGGCTCAAAATTTCCCCCACTAGTGACTGAGAACCCTTTTTATGAAAAAAGCAAACACACACCAAAACCACCAACCCCCCAAACTAAACTGCAACGCAGAACAGCAGAAGAGGATGATGGCAGGAGGCAGCTTGAGGAGGGAAAGTTATTCTAATGACAATATCCTGACAATGTTTTAACAGGTGATTAGAAAGATGTATGGGTTCAATAAAACATACCAGACAAGAGGAAGATTAACAAGACATTTGGAAGAGGAACACATCAACTTGACAAAGCTGCAAATATCGGAGTGTTTAAGCTTTATACTTTTTTTTCCTCCCTCAGCAGAGGCCACAGGATTTGCTGTCAGGGGCATTTTTTTCAGCTCATGTTCTAAAACTGGGCCAAAAGATTCCTCTGCTACCAGTGGAAAAGTTTGCACGCATCTGTATTTGCAAATCCTAACAGGGACAACTTAGAAAAGAACAGTCTTTGAAGCAGTAAGAAAAGAAAACCAGGAAACAATAAATAAGGAAGAGAACTAGTTATGTTAATGTTTGGAATACATCAAAGGTGTTCTGAAATGTAAATTACAGCTTCAATGCCATGTCAAAGAAATAACAACTAATTTCAAAGTTTTCAATTGTTTTATACTCATGATAGATAGGAGCAAAATTAAATCAGCTTGATCAAGAACAAAACTACCTTGCTTTTCAACCAGACATCGTTCTGTATCAAAAAGCGGTGTTAAAATCACGTTTTTTACCCAGTTCATTCAGTGGAACTGCAAGAATTCCTGCTCTTCCCTACCTTTTTCCTTCAATTTATTTCTAGGAAGTGTAAGGAATAGTTCTGACACCTTTCCTCTAGTTGCTACCATCAAACTTCTGGTAAGATTTCATGGTAAGGAAACAAAATTACTGTTGGTGTCTGTATTTTCACATTAGAAGATCTCATACATCAACATTGCTAATACAGTAAGTCGCATGTCAAAGCTTTGGGTATACGCTTAAAACCAGCTGATCTGAATCTTCTTGAGAAGGAACAAGAATGAAGAATGAGCATCTACAAGATCTACAATTACATATCAGTATCTGTACCCTGAGCTATATCAGTGCAATCCATTACAGAAATATCACAAGCTATTAAACTATGGGCGCTTATCTTCTGCCACAAACAAAAGATGTTACCCGACACGGTGGCCCCCTCAAAAGACACTGTTAGCTCAGAGTTCTCATATAAGTATTTAGTAGCCTTAAAGAGCTGGAAAACATAGCATTGCAAAATCATACCTAAGACACAGAGATTCTTCCTTGATTCTCAAGGACATAACTTTTTCCTATAAAAACTGACACATGCACACACCTAGCTTATGTTGTCCCCTTCTAAAAGAAAGTAACACTTTCACATTTTCCTTGCACTAGCTACTTGTTCCTTAGCAATAACTGACAGATTTCATTTTGATTCCCAGTGTGAGTTTTCTGATTAGGCGAAATGATACAATTCCCGTTTTTCCAAGCATTACGGGGTATTCACAACGTCCCTCTAGTCCTCGATCCACGGAACAAGACGCCCTGCGAGGACAAGCGCTGCATTTCGGGGATTAGCAGGGAAAGCAGGAGAAGGAGCTCTCTTTACCTTGATTTCAACGTTTCTTGTTTTCAAATTAAACCTGATTTGAAGTTGCAAGTGCTCCACGATAGGGGTGAATATTTTCATCCAGTTCTCTTTTAACGGGGTATACCTGTTGGCCGGTACTGGAACCTTCCGCATTTCGCTTTTCCCAACCTAGCGGGGAGAGA